GGAGGTGGCCAGAAGCATTATGTTTACATCCAATGTGCCTATACGTTTCTGGGGTGATGCTATTCTTACAGCGGTATATCTCATCAATCGAATTCCTTCATAGGTTCTTGACATGAAACCTCCTATTACCCTTTTATATCCTGATAAAGAGTTATTTACCGTCCCCCTCAAAACCTTTGGATGTACTTGCTTTGTTCAGATTCTTGGACCTCATTGTTCCAAATTTGATTCTAAGGCCTCAAAATGTATCTTGCTTGGTTATGCACAAACTCAAAAGGGATATTGCTGCTATGAACCAACTTTTAGAAGGAAACTTGTCTCTATGGATGTCACCTTCTTTTGAGTATGTACCCTATTATCCAAGGGTTTCTCCTCAGGGGGAGCGTAGTGAGGTTGGGATTAACTCATTAGAAGTTCATTTACCTATTCCATTAAGTGAAGAGGGATGTAATGGGGAGGGTTGTCAGAGGTGCAAGGATGTGAGAGTTTATCACAGACGGTGGAGGCAGGTTGATTTTGGTCATCAGCAGTCTAGGCCAGCCCCAATTCCTTCTGCAGATCCAGATCCAGGTACCACAGTCCCTTTACCAGATATTACAGATGAGATACCTTCCACCATTGAGCCTTCACCCTCATTGGATGACCTTGACCTTCCCATTGTAGTCTGTAAAGGCAAATGTTGTTGCACCACATCCACAACTCACTACATTTCCCAGTTCTTGTCCTATGCTCATTTGTCTCCCTCTTACAAGTCTTTTCTTGCATCCATTGTTGATATTCCCATTCCCAGAACAGTACAAGAAGCCTTGTCAGTTCCTGAGTGGAAAGATGCAATAAAAGTATAAATGGATGCCCTCATCAAAAACAATACCTGGGAGATAGTTGATCAGCCTAAAGGGAAGAAACCGGTTGGATGTAGATGGGTGTTCACTGTGAAACATAATGATGATGGTTCCATTGAAAGGTATAAGGCCCGATTAGTTGCAAAAGGATTTACTCAAACATATGGTACTGACTACTTGGAAACTTTTGCACCAGTAGCAAAGATGAACACTATTAGAATCCTATTATCTCTTGCAGCCAGTTACCCTTGGTCGTTGTATCAGATGAATGTTAAAAATGCCTTCCTCAACGGAGACTTGCAAGAAGAAGTTTATATGCAGTTGCCTCCTGGATTTTACGGTACAAAGACAGGAAAGAAGGTTTGTCGGTTGAACAAAGCCTTGTATGGACTAAAACAGTCCCTCAGAGCTTGGTTTGATAGATTCAGACAAGCCCTTGAAAGGTTCGAATATGTGCAGGCCCAGTCAAACCACACCTTGTTTATTAAGAGAGTGGATTCTTCCTTAACCTTGCTTACTGTATATGTGGATGATATTGTAGTAACAGGGAGTGATAATAGTGAGATTTAGTCCCTTAAGGTGAAAGATCTGGGAGAGCTACGATACTTCTTGGGTATTGAGGTAGCTAGGTCCAAGCATGGGATTTTTGTTTCTCAAAGAAAGTATGTTCTTGACTTGTTGGAAGAAACTGGAAAGTTAGGTGTTAAGCCTGCTAATACACCTATTGAACAGAACCACAAGATCAGTGTTGAGGGTGGAGAGCCTCTTGAAGATAAAGCTATGTTCCAACGGTTAGTTGGAAAACTTCTTTATCTTTGTCTCACACGACCCGACACCAGTTATGCAATCAGTGTTGTTAGTCAGTATATGCATTCTCCTAGAACTACTCACCTCCTTGCAGTTGAAAGGATATTGGTAGAGTTGAAGAGGTGCCCAGGCAGAGGCATTTTGTTCAAGAATAATGATCACATGAAAATAGAAGTTTACACAGATGTTAATTGGGTTGGATGTGTTGATGATAGAAGATCTACCTCTGGATATTGTGCTTTTATAGGAGGTAATCTTGTCTCTTGGAGGAGTAAGAAACAAAATATTGTTTCTCGTTCCAGTGCTAAAGCTGAATATAGGTCCATGGCAAATGGTCTGGCTGAGATTCTATGGTTGAGATCATTATTTGAGGAGTTGGATATTGTTTATGAGAAGCCCTTAATGTTGTACTGTGATAATCAGGCTGCCATTAATATAGCCCATAATCAGGTACAACACGACACAACTAAGCATATTGAAGTGGACCGACATTTTATTAGAGAAAGGGTTACATCTCAAGAAGTATGTCTTCCGTACATCACCTCCGACATGCAGCTTGCAGACCTCACCAAGGCTGTTTCAAGGAAAAAGTTAGAGGCAGATCTATGCAAGTTGGGAATGACAAATATCTATTCCCAACTTGAGGGGGAGTGTAGAGAACACTAATGTGGACCCACTAGTGTGGTCCCCACTGTGTTCGTATGTCAGTAATTAGTTATGATTAGGATTAGTCTATTTCAGTTTTATCTTATCTTATCTTATCTTATTATCTTGCCATGTAAGCAATAAGTTATCTTGCCATGTAAGCAAGTCAGTCCTTTTACAATTATGATACTATGTATATAAATTTAAGAGTGGGGCAGCTGTTTCTAACACAACCACTCTCTCTTTTCTCAGAATTCTCTCTCTCCTCTCTTCTCCTCTTCTCTTCTTCTCTTCTTTTAGTTTCTATTCAAAACCTAAGACTAGTTGCAATCTTGTACGACTACTTATCTCCTCTGCCTTCGAGATCAATCTGCTAAATACCTCAGCTAAAATGGTGAAGAGGAAAGGGGATAAAAGGTCCCCTTGTCTCAGTTCTCTTAGGGCACCAAAGAAATCTTTGACTGCATCATTTACCAACACTGAGAAGTCAGAAGATTGTAGGCATCCTTTAATCCATTTACACCATCTTGCTCCAAAACCACACTTCCTTAATGCTTCAATTAAGAACTCCCAGTCCACCAAGTCATAGGCTCTCTTACACACAATGCCCTTCCTTCCTACTATCTTGAAATCCTCCACAAACTCATTGGTAATGAGTATTTGATGTGATATTTGTCTATCTTGGATGAAGGCCCCTTGGATTTGAGATATGATTGATGGGAGGGCCTTTTTTAACCGAAAGGGAGAAGACTTTTGCAAGACTACAACAAAATGTCATGGACATTGAGCAGAAAAGAAAAAATGAAACAGAATAACATGATTGCCCTTAAATAAAGGGACTAAAACAAAAGGCATGGCTTACCAATCAAAAGGAAAAAAATGGCTTAGTTGCATCTGTTTTGTTAAGTTGAATTCCACAAGTGATGTCTGGGTAACATAACGGTATTCATCTAAGTTACTAAATACAGGTCATTACCTTGGTGGAACTAAATAAAATCTTATCCTACCTATTTGGAGTTGGCTACATGTATCATGTTTTATGACTCCACCATATCAATCCTCAATAAGATATTTTTTTATCAGCAAACCCTCAATAAGATCCTCTCTTTGATCACTTGAAAACAGATGCTGCTTAAGTGATGTGAAGGAGCCAGTAGCTCACTTATTGCAGCAACTGTTTTCTGATCTGGTTTATTTTCTGCAACTTTCCATGAGAAGTTGGGCACTACCTAAAGACCTTTCCATCTTGATTATAGCAAGAGGATCTATTTTGTGGAATCTCCTTGCTTTTGCAGTTTGCAGGGGTCTTTGGAAGAAGAGGAATTTCCACATATTCAATGGAAAAAAGTCTAATTCCCCAGACATCATATCAAGATGAAGAGAGTTCTGGTTAGATGGATTTTGGTTCTTATGAAGTTTGAGCCCTTCGCACATGACCATTTTTAGACACTGGGCTGACATTATTATTAATTCTAATTTTGATGTATAGAGAATATAAGATAAACATGTACATGGATATACACGGTTTGCTCTCTTTAACCATGTAGAGCTTATATTGAATGGGGGCTTGTTGAGAATAAATCAGTTTATGTTCGAGTATCACCAGGTTCCATTTTTACCTTGGGTTATGTCTTTTCGTTTCTTATGAGGGGGTAGAACTATCTTTTTATTGTGTTATGTAACCCAAAATTTAAATATAAAGAGGGCAGCCGATGGTAGCAGTGCAAGTCAGGCACCTGATTTGAAAACTTTACACAATTTCAGGCTCAGGCTTCTAGGATGGGCCCATTCAAATTTTAACAAACTCTCAACCGAAGCCCACCCAAGTTGTACCCTTACCTGATGGTTGCATGGTTTCTTCTTCTCTTCTCCTCTTATATTTCATCTTCATCTATTTCTTTTTCCTTTTATTTGTTTGAAGCTTAAATCATTTCAAGTTGGTATCAAGTACACATCCCATCATACAGTTGCCATTTTGGTCTTCTTTCACAAGCACAATTTCTAGAAACCATATGAATTAGATCAGGAGTTATATGGTGGATTGAAAAATCTAACAAATCGATTTATATTAATCAGTATTGCCTGATTTTTTTTCAGGCGGTTTGAAGATTTTTCTGCCTAGGTATGAGGACCTAGAGATCAACCTCTATCAAATAAGGCCATTACCCAATGTTGATCCTAGACATCTTGGGAGTTGGGAGGGTGGACTGTATAAATACATAACCTGTTTTTTTAATTGTTCTTATGAGCTGAATGATCTAACCAGCAGTTAAAACTTGTAAAACCATGACCAATCGAGCTTTATAGTTTTTGTCTGGTCTGTATCTGACAACATTGATTTAAACCCATGTCCTGGCTGCAAGCCTGCAAGTAAGATATTTATTGTTCAATGTGTTATATCTCAATGTCACTGTTTGGTGGTATATCTTAGCTGAGTACTCGTCCCAGCAATTTGAAACTGGATGGATCTGGCATAGACACATACCAGACCCAAAACCAACTAAACAAAGGTGTTGCTGAAAGAATATCCAAAGTATGAGGTCACCATCTGTAAATATAATAATGTACCATTTTCAGAGACAAATTATAAGGTGAATCATTTAGAAATTCAAATAAGCTTGTTCATTCTGACAAATAGATAACTGCAACAAAAAAGAGCTTTTTGTTATACATAGAGGTGTCATGTTTTTCTGATAAAACGCTTACCTTTGTATTATCTTTCTTCAAGTGAAATGCTTGGTTTTTCTTCCTATAAAGATTCTCTGGCAGAGAAGTATAAGATTGCAGCACATGGATAATTACATAGATCATCCAACCAATATATCCAAGAGTAACTGTGGTCATCAGCATCAACCAATCATAGGTTTGAAAATAATGAAGTCCTTCGAGTGACAAGCTTCTGAGATTTAGTGATAACTCCATTGCAGAATCATAGTTCTTAATTGATATCAGATCTTCAATTTGATCTAAAACAGAGGAATAATTTTCCAATGGTTTGAAGGGCTTGAAATGTAGTGAGTTTGATTGTTTCATTTCTGCTATTGTCAAGACAACAAGAAGAAAACAAAACAAGTCCCTCCCTCACTCCCTCTGCTTTATTTCCAAGATTTGTGAATATAAAGTATATAACAAAGAAAAACAAAGAGGAATCCCTCCCACCATCCTCCATGTATTTGCATCAAGCACAATGGCCAAGTTTCTTCTGGTCAAGAAGTATCTAAGGCAGAGAAAGATAATGGTCGGTGATTAGGGTTGGGGTTTGGGATAGGGAGGATGCTACCTATTTGTTTTCCAGTTTCCTGTTGTATGAGATGTACTACAGTGTTCTGCTTGCCCGTAGTGAGGTTGATGAATTAGGCTTCTACCTCTAATGATATACTCAGTTAGAATGATGGATACCTTCTCACATCTATCCATAGATGATATTTGGAGAAACTGGAGTGAGGTGGCAAGGAGCTCTTCAAGAAAGAAGCTGCAATGTGTTCCTCAGTCACCTCCAACTGAAGATTTCACCAAGTTAAATTTTGATGGGAGCAGCCTTGGCAATCCTGGCCTCTCAGGAATAGGAGGGATCTTTAGAAACAATTATTACATTGTTCTCAGGTCTAGTGGGTATAGGGGATTCAACTAGGGCTAATGGGATGGATACAGAAGCCGGGGACTCTTATTTGGGCATATAGGGACAAAATTAAGAAGATTAAATGGTTAAGCAGTAATATGACAATGAGTGTTCAGTGGGAGAAGTTGGCTAATGGGTTGGCTGATGCTCTAGCTAAGGAAGGGGTCAATAGGAATAAGTTATATTGGGCTTAATTGTAACTCCTAATATGTGTTGTTTCTATTATGACAGGTGAAACTCACACCTCTCCTGGGGTTGCCTTGTACTTCTGTAGATATATTGATTATTCTAATAAAATTGAAATTAATTATAAAAAGGAAAACAGTTACAAGACACAGACCAGACTTAACAGTGTAATCAGTTGCCTAATGAATTTTCAGTCCCAGTTTTTTTATGGTTTTTCTGGGCTGAAAAATTTAACTGTCAGTATTAGTTATGACGGGGGGATTCCTCCCAAGTTAGATTTCTTGTTGTATGAGATGCACTACCATTTTGTTTGCCTCCATATGGAAGCTCATGGGTTAGGCTTCTTTTCCTATGAGAACACCTGAAATTTCTACTTCTGACTCTTTTTTTTTTTTTTGATCAATATCTACTTCTGACTCTTTCCCTGAGATAATAAATCCTCTTGATCAATTATAAATCAAAAAAGATAAATAGTGGGCATGGGGCATCAGGACCAAAGCAAAGAATGACCAAGAAATTTAGGCCAAACAAGGAAATATGATATGTACAACTTGGAATGGATGCAAAGATGATTTCTATGTTAAATATGCTTTAACTTCTTTTGCAGAGAACAAAAGCAAGCTAAGTTATTCAGAACTATTTCTGCTTTCCCCATTAAAAACCAAAGCAATAACTTCCTCAATGCACATAAATTAAAACTTCTTTGCAAATTAAAAGGAAGAAAATGCTCAAAAGCTTTAAGAAAACAATATCTCAGCCAGTCGAAAGAGTTGGAGGGAGATTGATCCCTCTTCTCAAAATGTTTATTTTATTAATATGTGCAAAGGATACGGGACTTGCGAAGGAACTGATTTAGAACTTGTTTTGTGTTAGCCAGCACTGCTTCAACTCCATCTGCCTGGATAAAGAACAGACAAAGTTTCATTGCAACTTTACTGCTTAGATTGATATTTAACCAAACCAAAGCATGGCATATGAGTGAAAAATCTAACAATAAATATACATGGCATAACTACAGGACTCTTTAAGTAATGCAAACAGTATATACAGTGAAAGTATATAAAACTAACCTCGCTCAAATTAATGTAACCCAATGGTAAATTTCCAACTGAGTTCACAGGACATGGCAAACCAAGAAGAGTTGACTGCCAAAATTTCAAGGGCCTATCAGAACAATGAAGTTCAAGGTAAATAGAGCAAATTAATTTTCTATACAAATAAGCTAGAAATAAAGAACCAAAATAAAGAGATTATAGATGGTAAAACCATTAGTGGTGCTATATCAGCTTGATTAACATCCACCCGTTCTATGCTGCTGAGGCCCCATTCAATAGGTGTAGGCATGTTATGCATATGCTCATCAACAAAACGAAAACCAGTATCAAGATGGCTACTGTGGGATAACTGTTTGGGATGCTTAACACCTGCTCCCCAAGCTACAAGAGGGGTATCAGTGTTTGTAGGATGCCCATCTCCATGACTTCCTATCAGTATAAGTATAAAACAAATTATGACCATGTCAGAATTTTTCAATGCACAGTGACTGATAACCTAGAAGGTTATAATTGTAACAAAAGCAAAATGGCATCGGACAATAAGAAGCATGCAGAAGTAGCTAATGAAATTGTATGTTAAAAAACCAAATAAAACAAAAAGAGCAAGTAATGTATTTTCTTGATAAATAGCTTATGGATATTGATATGAAGACTTCCAATGCTTCAGCATTTCCTGATTGTTGTAGTCAGAATTATGATGCACATTTTTAAACTTCCAACGCTTCAGCTAAAGTTAATAACCTTCTTTAGCTGTTAATTAATATGAATTTGCTCTATTAAATACTTATTATAGTAGTATTATTTTTGAAAATAATGAAATTAAATCTATCCTTTAGATGTGATGATTTGCCACATTTTTGGAGGAAACTTAATGTTCTTAATAAAGAGAAATGCTATTTTTTCAATTAGCATACATGCTGAATGGTATATAAAACTAGGAAACAAGCCAAAAGTCAGTTTTTTATATTATAAAATTTTTATCGTCTAGGCGACTAGGTGACTAGGCACCCCAGTGTCGCCCAGAATTGCCTAGATGCCTTGAAAACTATGCTTTCTTTCATGCAATTTCCTGTTACTTCTGCACTGTTAGATGCACTATAACATCAGTTACATAATGTCCCCTCAACTATGGACATAGATCACAGAAACCATTGACAACTAAGATAGAAGTATAGCACGATTAAGAGCTATGCAGATCAAAGAATGAGGCTTGCATAAAAGGTTAAATTCAAAAACAGTCCAAAGTTGAACTTAGAAAAGATGCCAAAGTTTTTCAAACCTTTGTCACTCATTCCATGATCAGCTGTAAAAATATAAGCTGTTTGGTTGTCCTTGAAATAACCTTCTAAAAGATTATATACACCTTCTGCAATACGATCAACAACCCTTACATTATTTAGATAGATGGATGAATAGGGCCGATGTGCATGACCATTCGAATCACAACCAAGTAGGTGCAGAAATATAACCACATTATCCTGCATAAGTAACTGCTTCACTCTTGGATCACCCTCAGACCTATTTAGAAGTTCCTGGAGCTGATCAAAGGACCATTGATCCAAAAAAGATGCATCTGTATGGGGGAAAATCAATATGTAATGCATCAAAAATAATATCCATGGCATTTACAAAGATGACAGTCTCCTGATTCCTGAACCTGCATTTTTTTCTTTATCTTTAAGTGAAAAGTTTTGCTACTGGAAAATCAGTGTGATAGAAAGTATAAAATTCAACATAAAAGGGATGGCAAACAAAACAACCACTAAACATTAGACACCAGAATCGCCAAAGAAAACCATTCATTCCTTTCCCAACACTGACGAAATTTTACCCAATATTTTTTCCTTCACTAAAGCTATTCAATCCATAAATCATGCATGTACTATACAGAGTTCAAAATATCAATATAATATGCCTCGTATCAGGCATATTGTAGGTATGTCAGGGCCACTGATATGGGTATTATGAAGAGTTATAAGATTTTGACTTTTTATAATTGAAATGTAATTCAATACTCAAAAGAAAAATCTGTTACAAATAAGCCCAGAGAGAGGCTCGAGGTGCAGCCTCACTCTTTAAGAATAAATCAGCACTACATGAGATACAAGTAACCAATAGTGGAGAGATTATACACAATCACAAAGCTGCCCAGAACAGAGAATCCCTGTTAGCCCCTTGTTTTACAAGAGAATCAGCCATCTCATTAGCCGATCTTCTTACCCATTGAATCCTCACTATCATATTCCTTGTTTTGCAAGAGAATAAGATTTTGACTTTTTAAATAACTAATATATTATGTGACAGGTCTTTTGTCAAATTGTTAGACCAAAATATTAAAAAAAATAATAGTTTTGTTGAGCTGAAACTCTCAATACACAAAATTTACACATTGAGAGTATTGATACTTTGAACCATGGTATTATAATTGTAGAGATACAGCTAATTAATTTGTGGTCCCAGTTATTTGTTATTGTTTTGCTGTTAGTTATTATTGCTTCTTTATTGTTTCTTTCTTCCATATAGGCGAAAGGGGTATTCCTGTTTTCATATCTCTTTTTATTTGATTAATATAAAGAGCAGTCATTGGGGTGGCAGGACCACAAGATTCTACACCTTTTTTTTTTCTCACTCTCTCTATCCTCTCTCTTCTCCTTCTCTGCTTTCTCTCTCTTTTTTTTTTTTTTTGCTGTTTTTCTTACTAAAACAGGTCTGATTAGTGGTTACCACTGGTTATGGCCAAATTGGTATCAGAGCAGGTTTAGGATCAAGTAGGGTCCTCATGTGAACTTGATCCACCCAGCTACATGAGAATTCTCTAGGGCTGGAGTCTACAGCTTTCATCACCTGATTCTTGGATGTCATTGGAGACTACAGGAGGTGCCCAGGTGTGAGATATTGGAGATTGCCCAGTGACCAGGAGTCGGAGAAAACAGGTCAGTGTGAGGTTTAGGGTTTAAAAGTGGCGCTCAGGCTTTCTTGGGTAGATTTCCCATTATTATTGAGATCAACACCTATTAAAGTATTTTAGAATCCTCTAGAGGGAGAGATTATCAGTTTGACTTTCTCCAGGGCTGATTCTAGGATTTCCTCTGGAGAGTGATCAGCTACTGTTTTTCAACCAGCATTTCATCTGTTATTCCATTTCTTTAGTTTCCTGGAAAAGGTTTGTGGGCTGTTGCTGGAACCAAGGAGTCAGATTTGACCAAGGAGACAGTCAAGAGGAAGGGCTCAGAAGTGTTGGATGGGGGGTGCTTCTTACAGTTGGGGTTCCTGAGAAAAGGGCATTGAGAAGGAGGGCGGAGGTTTGGAAGATAAGAAATCTGACAAGGCTTTTCCAATCATCAGGGGAGAAAAAGGAGGTCCAGTGGAGATTGAGAGTTGAGCTACAAGATATATCAATGTTGGCAAGAGTTTAGGATTGCTCTTTTGGAACGGTGAGGAATTTGCTAAATGTGCATTTGAAGCTTTTGAAAGGAGTAAGAAGAAGGAGAGGCTAAAGAAACGCATAGTAGGAGGAGAGGCAAGAAATGAGGGTGGTGACGGTGAGGAAGAAGATTTTGGAGTAGAAGATTAAATGTTGGGGTGCCAGCATTTGGCAAAAGTTAGGATGGTGGCAGTCAGGAAGAAGGTTTGGATCAGGAGTTTCAATTCTGCTGGAAGATCTTTGGAGAATGTGTTTCTCTCCTCATTTTTCTTTCTTTTTTTTTTTTGTTGTATTTGGTTAGTGTTGCTCTGGGTGTTGTCTCAACACCTGCTGTCATCTATAATCAGTATTTTTTAATTATTTTAATGAAATTTTCTTCTTATCCTTCAAAAAAAGGTTTGTGAGCTATTGCTGAACAGCTCTTGAAGGGACTAATTTGTGTGAAAAGGAGTGGAATTGTGCAGTTTTCTCTTAGCTTGTGAATCAGTTGAGGTGTGTTCAGCATGGAGACAACTGGAAATGAATCAAAATCACATGGGGAAGGACTTGTGGGCAGTGTTTTAAAAGTACAAGGTGCAAAAAAGGCGCAGGGGTCAATTTGCGCCTAAGGCGCAATGCAAGGCGCACGCCTTTTTGAAGCAAGGTGCAAAAATACAAAAAAAAATGCTAAAAAATAAAAAAAAAATTGTCAGAAAATTCAAAAAATATTAAACATAATATAAATAAAAAATATTAACTTAAAATTTAAAATAATGTTTTAAAAAACCTATTATCTAAAATTAAAATACATAAACATAAGATGTAAAGCATATTCAAATGAGAATTTAAAAATAAAATCAAGCATATAAAACATTTTCAAGCATGTAAAACCTCTAATCTCTTTTTTCACTCAATTGCATTACTTCAAGTAGCTAATGTAGTGTAAAATATATTACTTCGCTCGCTCACTGAAGCTCCGAGAACCCCCAATTTAGTAATGTTGTCCATTCATTCATCCTAATAAAATGTCTTCTTAAAAAGCAATTAAAACTATAAAATCATTATTTTTTGTGTGAAAACTAAGAATTTAAGACCTAACGTGGACTTGTTTGGGTTGCCTCGAGGAGCGTGGCACGGGGGTTCAGGGGTGTAGCCCCCAACCCAGCCGCTATGTTCAAAAAAAGCAAAAAAGCGTCAAATTTTCAAAAGGTGCATGCCTAGGTGCACCAGGCGTGCGCCTTTTGAAAGGGTTGTGCCTAGGCCTAAGTGAGGCGCGTACCCTAAAATGCGCCTCGCCTGTGCGCCTAGGCGTGCCTTTTAAATCATTGCTTGTGGGGGCTGGAAATGTTGTAGACAGCAATTATTTTCAGATTACCACAATAAAATTTGATGGAACAAATTATTTGAAGTGGGCCCAATCAGTCATCATGGCTGTTGGAGGAAGAGGAAAGCTAGGATGTGTGACAGGAGACACTAAAAAACCAGCAAAGGAAGATCCATCACATGGTAAGTGGGTTCAAGAAAACTATCTTGTTATGACTTGGTTGTCCAATTCTATGCAGCCTCATATTAGGGCAAAAATAGCTAAGGAGATTTGGGATAATAGTGAGGAAACTTACTCTAATCTCCTTAATGTTGTTAGAGCCTATGAGTTGAAACGTGAGATGAACAATCTTAAACAGGGGGAGAAACTAGTATCAGTCTACTTCTCCACCCTAAAATCATTATGGCATGAGATTGATCACTTGGAGACAATTGAGAAGGAGAACCAAAAGGATGCAACAACATATAGGAAATTAATTGCATCTCTACAGCTAATCATGAATGTATTATACAAAGTTCAAAGTATCAATATGATATGCCCTGTATCGGGCGTATTGTAGGTATCTTAGGGCCATTGATATGGGTATTATAAAGAGTAATAAGATTTTGACTTGTTAAAACACTAATATATTATGTGACAAGTCTCTTGTCAAATTGTTAGACCAAAATATTAAAAAAAAAATATTGTTCTGTTGAGCTGAAACCCTCAATACACAAAATTTGCATATCAAGGGTATTGATACCTTGAACTAGGGCTGTTCACAGGTTGATTCAATTCGGTTTTACTTAATATTATCAATCGAACCGAAAAAGTCGGGCTATCTTTAAGAGCAACCGAAAATTATCAACAACTAAAGAAAATCGATTTCCTTTTTCATTTTACCTGAAATCGGTTTAATCGGTTTTAATTAAAGCAAACCGTAATTAATGTTTATTTGAAAAGGTCAATTGTTGATTGGCCCAACCTTTAACGGCTATGCCTACAATTATTACCAGCCAATAGCTATGCGGGCTATACCTACATCTGCATGTCAGTCAGTCATGTCAAAAGTCTGTCAAAATAGGTATATTAATATTTTTCTAAAATTTTTCTTTTACTTTGTAAAACATGTTGTCCCTTGCCAGATTTACTAACGTGTCAATATAGGCAAATGGATTGGACATGGAATGTAGTGGCTGTCAAACTAAGAAAAGACCAAAATCATTATGTTTTTTTTAACATTTTACATATACATGAAAGCTTTTCCATCGGTTCGGATCGATTTGAAGTCGGATTATACAAGGTCAAAAACCGCAGCTGAACCGAATTGTCGGGTTCAACCATTTTTTAAACTAAAACAGACCAACTGCGTTTTAGAACTGACCATGTTAGGTCGAGTTGGTTCAGTTTGGTTGGTTTGGTCGGTTTACAATATATTATGAACAGCCCCACCTTGAACCATGGTATTATAATCACAAGTAGAACTTGATCAAGTAGAATTGGTGAGAAATTTTTTTACTCTTATCAATCGTTGGCACCTAGAGTGAAGATCTTGCTCACACAAGTCCCATTGTTGACCAACTTATTGACAAATGGCCTTGCCAAGGATAGAGTTGGGAGGAGCAAGTTGCATCTGGGCCTGGAGTCTAGGTTTTAAAGACTAATGGAATTTTCTCCCCTTATGTTTGTTCACATCCCTCTTTTCTGGAGGTGGGGTCTCTTCCTCTTTGCTTATAAGGTGTTGTAAAAGGTTATTCCAACACTCCTACCTCCCAAAAAAGGCAAAAAAAAACTAATGTGGAAGCTCATAAAAATAGGATATTTAATACCTGTAAATAGCTTCAAAGGAAACAAGACACAAGGTTAT